ATTGATTTAAAATATAAATAATTATTCATAAATACTTTTAACTTTAATTGCATTTCTTTTTAAAAACATTATACGTCAAAAAAGTTCTGAATTCATTCTAGATCTTTTTGCTGAAAGTAAATTTCTTGCATCAGAAAATAACCTTTATGATGGTGTTGATGTTGCAGAAATGGTTAAATGAATTCTTGCCATTTTAGCAAGAATTGGATACTTATTTTTATTATTTAACCACTAATTAAATGGATATTGATTAAAAGATCCAAAGTGGTACATTTAGAGCAAGAGTATCGTTAGATGTATGAAAATCTTGCTTTCTATAATTATCATATAAGTGTTCTGGTACGACAAAATAAAATTTGATATCTTCTGACGCATCCTCCCCCCTAACTTATTATAAAGTATTTTTAAACCGTTCATCTTGATAGGGTGGATCTTTGATATTGTCATCTGAAAAAGTTTGTTGGGAGTAATGATGGCATCGATCATTGGATAATTTTGTTCCACTGGTTTATAGTATTTTCCATCTTCGATCACACTGATATTACTTTTAAACAACTCGAGTATTTCACTCTGCCTATTAATAATGAGGTCTTCCTCTAAACAATTGAGTTCTAAAGAACGTGTTTTGAAAACTCCCCCATCTCGTAGCAGCCGATGAACAATCTGTTCAAATGACATGCCCAATAACGAATTACTGATTCCTGCTTTTAAGCTCAAATTCGTTTCAGTACGCAATTTGCTCCTTATGTCTTCCTCAAGTGTTTTGGTCACTTCTTGCTTAACAAATTCAGAGGCGAATCTTACGATTGTCTTTGTATAGGGTCCTTCGCCGTGTCGATCTAGCATTACATCATTAGGAATAGTGGGAATAGTATCTAAATCCATTTCATTTTCGTCCTTTACTTCGTCAGCGAATGGGAGATTTGTATAAATGTGAACGAGCTTGTGGCTCATTTCATCTGTATCCGTTGATTCACCAACGTATTTAAATATATCCATGCTACACTTGTTAATTGCCTTTTCAAGCATGTCTTGATAACCTTTATCATCAGCCTGTTCTAAAACAAAGCTAGGAATTCCTCCACACTTCAAAAACAATTCTTCAACCTTTTCTTTCTCAATGTTATAAAAAATTTTATCCCTGCATTCATCGATCTCTCTTCGTCCCCAAACTGGCATGAACCGTACTGTTGAAAGTCCAAACTTGTCAAAATCTCTATAGAGATCCTTTCTAGGTGAACATAAAAGAATTGTTCTTGCATTAGCTTTAACTGGTATCTTAGCATCCACAATGTACCATGCATTTGAATTTT